TTACACGCATTCTGATTGGACCTTCAAAGAGTAATCATTCTTACACGCATTATGATTGGACCTTCAAAGAGTTTATCATTCTTACACATATTCTGATTGGACCTTTAAAGAGTAATCATTCTTACACGCATTCTGAGTGGTTAGTCTGTCATTACCGTACCCTGACTTTGATCATTGCAAGGGTTGTTTCAGGCTGTCGATAAAATTTTAAGATTTTGTTCTTTTTCTTCAATCTAGTGAATTTTCATCGAATCAAGTTCCTTGCATTTGCCACCCAGTCTAGTATTGAAGTGTATGCATGGGCACCCAAACCTTACCATAAGTTTATGGCTTTCAAGGTGAGTCTTTCGTGGTGTAAACTGGTATGCGGTGTGTTTCTGCTTGCTCACGACTTTATCTTGTTTTCTGTTGTCAGTCGTTCCCCGAGTTAAAACATCAGCCAGTTCTGTTAAACATGACGATAGAGAAGGAGAACAGTAAACTCAAAGTCTGTTACGCATCTAAAGTAGGTCAGTATGTAGAGAAAACTTCCAAAATGTCTTTTTGTATTCCAACAATACACGACAAAATGGAAGATAGATCAACGCACATTTTGTTGAATTATACAAATGTTCAGTTGTCATATTTATCAGTCAGCCTTTCCTTTATTGTTTTCCAAAATGTTAGACAAGTATTTTTTCATAATTATACCATGAGAGCTGAGGTATTTATGTCTAACAGGTTTCCATGCTGTAGACTTGGACTCCGCTACCGTCATCGATTTGTACATCCCCACTAAGGTAGGTCGGTCGGTAGGTCACGTACATTTAGTGATATATACCCCCTTTAGCATGTGACGTCAAAGGAGCTCGATTTGGAGGACGAAAAAGAATTTCAATCTCCCGAGAATTGAAAACCTATTGATATGTCCTCCAAATTGAGCTGCATTTGGACGGACTGCGAGTGAGCTATTAAACAACCTCTAGAACTAGTAATGTCTCAATCAATGATATCCTAACACTAACCATAATAATARAGTTTTGACAATCTTTTCTCCACATTTTAGTTACAAGAACCATTCCATCCTCATTCTATCGTAACACTTCCAAGTAAGTAAGAACAAGAGGTCATAAAAGACAAATGGTGCTTCTACTTATGGCCTGTTACTGTTTTTGTCCAAAGCTTGATTTACCTCCTTTTAATTTTCCTTATAGATTCAAGTGGCAAGGAACTTTTGTTGTGTTACAATAGTAAGTAGTTTGTTAGCATAACTACATGCATAATTCCTTTTGGGCTTGGAATGACTAATCAAACTCTTTTTAAGTAGTTTTAATAGTTGTGTTCTAGAACAGTAATAGGACTTTCTTTTCGACCTTTGGCGACTAATTTGTTAATTTTAATTTAACAGCTGAGGGAGTATATGTAGATACTGATGGTCAACTAGTGAGACACGCTACCATGCAATGGGGAGAGACGCCGTACGCAATAGGTACGATATAGTTATGGATATGTTATTTGTATATGAGAATATATATAGACTATATATTTGTACTGYGGTTGTAGTGTATCAAATTGAGCTGATCYTCGCAGTATATAATATTACCGGTACTCGGGCACATTCTTAAATATCCAATAAAGTATCAACGTGTTATTACCTCTGTATTGCAGCAAGTATTGGTAGCTGTCAGATAATGGGGTGGGGCGAGAAGGCCATTGAAGTACGATCCGTAGAGACAGGGTTGTTGGATGGAGTCTTCATGCACAAAAGAGCCCAGACGTTTAGATTCCTCTGTGAAAGAAACGAAAAGGTAACTAGTTAAATATGGCATCAGCAAGTGTCATCATCATATTGCACTAATGTGCCATATCATGTTATGTTTTAACGCTTACATTTGTTCCGTATAATTTTTTAAAAAGTGATAAAAGAATAGTTGTATTTGATATAAGACAATCTTCATTTTCTATTCTAGGTGTTCTTCGCCTCTCGATCRACTTCCAGTGGCCAGATTTACTTCCTGACATTGAGTAAATCCTTCAAGAACTTTGGCTATTGAGATGACCGCGAACATTCTTTAACGTTCTTCTTTTCGCATGAAAAAGAATAACTGTGATATTGTGTCCATATCACGGTACAATTGGCGATATGTTGCTGGACAAATTTTGAATCGATCTATCTTTTATCTGATATAGAACTGTATGATAAATATAACGTGGGGCTTTTCTAAGATAACGATCGCATTGCATTCTGGACTAGATTTAGGAGCAAACTGATGTCCTTTGTGCAAGTAACTGCTTTTAGGCCAGACCATAATATACCTTGGTTGACTAGCCCGGCCTTCCAATATTATATTATTGTAGAAGATATTTTATGTAGAGGAATCGCTTATTGTTGGCATTGCAGTRCATTTTGGGACTGTTTGGGGAACATATTTCCAAGAGGGCGTCTATTTCGTGCCCTTGACATAATCCCACAATGCACTGCAATGTCAACTTCACCCAGTTTTTTCCTTAACCTCGGATTGGCTGATATTTAGCACCACTGACCATGGACTAGTGCTTATGACACGATAGTCAAGCGATTGATATTTTGTGTTATTATGGCCAACGGAAGCTCTTTCAARTTCAGGAGGGGTATTCCACTTGCCAAGGTAGATAAGAAGTATCTTGATATGTAAAGTCTAGATCGCTGTGCCTTGCAAAGGAGGCAGAAATCTGTAAAAAAGGGTGTGTTGAATTACTTTTTAACCATTGAATATGAACTAAAGCATTAAATATTTGAAAACTGCTGTCAGGATTAACAATACAAATACTGTAAAATGCAGACTGTCATATTCCCCGCTTGTTTACCTAACTTAGTGAACAACATTTGTAAGTCAAAGACAAACCTTTTCAGTTCAGTATAATAATAACTACAGAAGTATTAAACAGCACCCAGGCACCGACGCATGCTTTTTTAGAGCAGTTTTTGTCGGGCTACTGACTACTAATGGCGGCGTGGCGACAATATCATGTTGTGAATCGCGTCCGTAAAACTACACAGCGCAAACTTTTCTTTCTTTCCTTCTTTCTTATTTTCTCATTTTCTTTTTCTTTTCCTTTTTTTCTTTTTTTGTTTTGGTTCTGCAAATCCTTGGTTTATATGCCACTTCTCAGGGCAGCTGTATGTTTAGAGTAAGCAATAGTCCCTTTCACAGTTCCCTGCAACATCTTGAAAGGTCGAAACGAAAAAAAATGAAGAAGAAACAAATCGTTCAAGTAAGCATGGGCAAGCTCAGTGCAAGGGCGCTAGGGCGAAAATTGGTGGTTTTTTAGCCGTTAGACTCCGTTATATTGGTGTTTTTTTAGCCGTTAGAAACTCATCTGTTCTGTTATGTGCTGGCTTGATTTATTCAGTTTCCCGTCTATATACGCCAAAAATACTGCTGTGACGAACGGTTTAATCGTACGTAACGCCTCTTGGTTATTTAGGGGGATTTGGATTAACTCATTAACTTATYAACCGACGCGTACGCTTACGTAAGCGGTCACGAGGCAGGTATAGGATATAGTAGTTCGTTACGTACGATTAAACCGTTCGTCACAGCAGTATTTTTGGCGTATATAGACGGGAAAACTGAATAAATCAAGCCAGCACATAACAGAACAGATGAGTAACAGTTTAAACAGTTTCTAACGGCTAAAAAAACACCAATATAACGGAGTCTAACGGCTAAAAAGCCACCAATTTTTGCCCTAGCGCCCTTGCTCAGTGTATATGGATTTATTAAGCTCTTTTCGTGTATAAACATTWTCCCATTGCGGACTCAAGAAGAGTGGTAGAGCTTGTATTGGTATTACATTTATTGATTACCCTCGCAGCACGGTTCTGCTGCGTATTTTTTCTGGGCTACAAACAGGTGCTAATCCATCCCACGCCTAGCCACTTTCGACTAATTTATGAGCATAATTAGATATAACTGGCTAAAAACTAGTGTGAGCTGCGTCGGTGTTTCTAATGAAACAGTAATGATGAAAAGGTAAATTATATACCGTAAAAAGATGAAAAAACTTAGAAGACTTAGAAGACTTAAAACTTAAGTTTTTTCATCTTTTTACGGTGTATAATTTACCTTTCATCATTACTGTTTTATGAGCATAATTAATCGCTTAGAATAGAACATTTCGTCATCATCTATCAATAGCTGTATTATTTCACACAACGCATGCTCAAAAGTAAGTTACTAATTGCGGAGCGGGCAGTAAGCAGTAGGTGAAGAAAGTCAAACGACGATGGAGGGTGTTCAAGGGCAGCAACAGTACGGTGTTGGAGGGGATCAAGTTGTCATACAACAGCCAGGTACTTTATTGTAATCTTCTGCTATTTTAGATCGTTTTGATTAGAGCTAACTTATAAAAATTGACTATTTTCTGCAGGTAAACACTCCCCTCTTCTGTCGCAATTATWATACGTTAAACGCCGATGATCGGTTTTTGGCTTCCATCACTAATGTACTTAAGGTCAAGGATTAAGCGATTTTTCAAGCAACTTCTTGTCTTGCTTCTAATTTTCCTTAAGTAAATCATAAAAGGAATTCTCTAGCTATTTATTAAAAATGCTAACGACGGTTTAAAAAATAACGAATGCATTTTGGTTAATATCGTTACGCTTATGTAACTTTGAATTTGCTTCATAGGCTAAAAATATCGTTTGTTGATTAGCTAGTGTAGAGCTAATAAGCTTGCTTCAGCCACATATAGTTAATAGATTATCTAAATTTATAGATCTATAACTAAGCTTCAGCTTTCTTGTGATGACGAATTTCAAACATATTCACCATGATCCTGGATCAATAATTATTTACTTTACAGGCTTTACTAGTGTTTACGTTGTATATATGGTTAAGGCAAATTAGAACTGGTTGTGGCTGGAAAAACTCTCACTGTCTAGTGACTAGTTAGCTTGTTTACGATAATATGAATCCATTTACTCAATTTCTCGGAGTTTTGTTTACTTCGTGTTTAACCCGAGATTATTTCTCTGGTAATTGATCCTTTTGAACATGCGCTTTGAGCGCTGCGCATGCATGTTTGTATGTAAACATGGTTTTGACCTCAGGGCTTTGGATGCTTTGGGAAATGTTGTCAAAATGTTTGACTCGTGGATGGGGTCTTAAATGTATTTGTTTAGTGTTTAGTATGAAAGGAAATTGATGAAATAAATTTGTATTCTAATCAATAGGGCAGCAACAACCTGGCCAAGTATGGATGGCAGCTCCTCCCCCACCGCCTGGCTGTCCACCTGGTCTGGAATATTTAACTCAGATTGATCAGATTCTAGTACAACAACAAGTAGAGTTGGTAGAATGTTAGTTTTCATATTTTAAATTGATGATTTTCTTTGCTTTATATTTAAGGAGTTATTATACAACAACTTATGACATTGTGAGCTACCTAATTTAAATTTTTTTATTCATTTTTACATTATTTTAGCTACAAAGATTCTAAAAAGGGTTTAAAATTTGATAATAATCTAATAATTATAATAATGTATGATTAAAAATGAAATCTTTTTTTTATTTCACTAGTGTTTACTGGCTGTGAAATGAGAAATAAGTATAGAGTTTGCAACTCATTGAATCAGCAAGTGTAYTTTGCCACAGAAGGTAATATGAAATTGAATTTGTATATAAATAAGGAATATGAAATGTGTGCCCATGTCTCTGTACGCCTCATACAAATCTAACTTCTTGAGTGGTTATAAGCAACTGAGCAWGTGCACCTAAAACGATGGTTGCATGCTAATGGAATCGATGACCAATGCTTTTATAGCATAGCAAAAGCATTATTAATCTTTGTTACTCAAAAAAATTCAAATATTTTTTTTTTAATGAATGAAATCTGCATTATGTAGCGCATACAGCTACTCAACTGACGTCAGCGTGCGTTATCCATTTTTGGATGCCTGCTAGCGCTCATTAATTAACCAATCAGAGGTCATGTTATATCAATGGCTGTTATAAGTAAAATATGCAGTATGAGTGTATAGTGGCAATAAAATAAAAATAAATGAAATAGAAGTAAAGTAAATTGGGGGAAAAAAGTAAAAAATTATTTAYCATCCGAAAGTTGGTCTGGATAGGGGAAAGGTAAATTGCCCTCTCCTTTGGAAAAGGGGCCATCCATGGTCCATTTATTTTCAAGACCCTGGTCACARCTGTTTTCCCTATCCAGACATCATGGCCTGTAAATAACCTCTATTGATTGCAAACATAGAAACTGATTGCTGCACAAGATGGTGTTGTGGTCCTCTTCGGCCCTTTGAGATGTCTATTACAGACAATTTCCAGAGAGAAGTTATTCACCTTTCACGGCCATATCGTTGTCAATGCTGCTGTTGTCCTTGCTGCTTGCAAAYAATTGAGGTTCAGGCACCTTTGGGCACAGTTATTGGGACTGTGGAACAAGAGTAAGTGATGATAAACACAGCTTTTTACTATTACTGACAGATGTACTATTGAATGGGAATTATTAGTGATAACTAACCTTTTAGTGAGTAATTTATTATTACATATACACAGGTGGACTTTTTGGAAACCTAAATTTTCAGTCAAAGATGCCAATGGTGAAGTAGTTCTGACTATTGATGGACCTTGCTGCCCRTGCAGTTGTGGCAGTGATGTTAATTTTGAGGTACTAATCAGTTATGATTAAGGAATATAAAACATGTACACATGTATATATTTATATAGTGTGAAATAAACATAGTTTGAGCTGTAGAACGTGAGAGAAGTAGGGCTTAGGAATGCAATTGGTGTAGCTCTAGATCCTTCATGCCGAATACTATTTCATTTAACATCCCAGTGAAGCAGTTTACTTCTGATTAAATAAATAATCGATTTGTGTTATGTTAGTATTTATAATAACTTGTAATTATTATCTTGTAGGTAAAGTCTCGTGACAGATCCGTGACAGTAGGAAAAGTCACRAAGCAGTGGACTGGATTTGTTCGGGAGATGTTCACAGATGCTGACAACTTTGGAATAACATGTAAGTTACAAACCTTACATGGCATATATCGATTCCCAAGACACTTGTGTAGACCTCTGATCACCTGTAGGGTCTCTGGTCGAACAGGTTTTGGACTTAGCATCAAGTGACCTATTTACAGACCCTTTATCTCCTTGTTTGGCCAAAACAAGGATTCAAATTACTACCATTATTGTTGAAGTGTGACCTGCAATGTTTGATGTCTCATTTGCCGACTGGCATTTTAATGACTGTCAGTCAAAGAACTGAAATAAAAAAAAAACTGTTTCAATTCTTTTAAATCTTTAATTCAGTCCAATGATTTTTAGCCTGTGTACAGCCGCTTCCCACCCCTCCCCCCCTTCAGGGAAAAAACGGGAAGGGAGCTAATGATTTTTCTCAAAATGAATTAGTGTGCGAGGGTCAAATCTCAAGGATAATCTTAGTAGTGTATCAATTTTTTTAGTAAATCAGAAGGCCACATATATATTATATATATTATTGTTGTTGTTATTCTATAATTTAGAGTACTAGTTGACTTTTTTTTATATATTGTTAGTTCCAATGGACTTGGACGTAAAGATAAAAGCACTTTTGATGGCAGCTTGTTTCCTTATCGTAAGTATATAGCCTCATTTAACATTGAACATTGTTAAAATGTTAAAATCTATGTTAAAATATGTTTTAGAAGTCATATTCCATGAGCTTAAACATCTTGACAAAACATCTCAAAATAGTCGAAACTGAGTCTTTTCCAAGTGCARACTGGRRCGAGTCAGATAAAAAAATAAAAAAACTTGTTTTGAACATGTTGCTTATTTAGTTTCCTGAAGAAAAATGCCTTAACTTTGTTAGTTCCTCACATTTAGTTGCATATGCAGAAAAACGYGCAGTGCAAAACAAGGGAATTACCTTAAGCCAACAAAGTGAGTGTGCACCAAATCTGCTGAGTAACCCTCAAAATTTAATTGAGGAATCAAATACATTTTAAACTTCAACAGGGCCCTTAAATTTGACACAGAACTCTTTCCTTTTTGTAAGATTACTTGTAATTCACCATTTTYGGTACATCGGTTCACTGGTCAAACACAAAGCACTCAAGCGAGGCACCATAAAAATCTACTCTACCGGTATATCTCTATAATAATATACATGAAAAATTTACTCAATTCTGATTGGCTGACAGTTCTAATGAATCACCAGTGCAAACATCTGTTATACCTGTGACCAAGTGGATGTTGAACGGCAAAGATGATGAAACTCATTGCAGGTCTTTTCCAAGATAGGTCGCAGGAAAAGAAGTGAGACTAAAACTAAAACTTGGACTAAACAAAAACACAACTAAACAGCACAAAATCTGGAGCAGAACTGATTTATTTTTCAAATTACGAATACTGTTGCGTGATCACTTACATCATCATTCCAAATATGGCTAGTACAAACGTAACGCAACAAACTCGAATAAATCTTCAACCAGTATGTTATCAACCAGTTTTCAACTTGGTTACATACCAGTGCAAAAACTCTGTAATACCAAGGTGTAGATGGGATTGGGATCTGAATTGAATATCATTTTAAAAAATCAGACACCTGACACCTTAAACAACTTATTGTAACAGTCATGCAGCCCCCTTCCATTCTCTAGTCATTTTGATCAATGATTTATTTGTGTCTTGTGTTTTAGGACTTCATGTACTTTGAAAGCCAACAAAACAATAACTGATGATGAAGGAAATCAACCGAATGTGTGTTATGATTAATGATATTATGTTATGAWTGCCAATAATAAGCAACGTTCAAGTCTATTCAAGTATAAAAGTATAAAAGTATATATACTAACAGGGGCGTATCCAGGATTTGTAATAGCGCAGCGCACTGATTCTAAAAATAGCTTAAAGATTCGGACAAACATTGCATTCTGTTTAACCGCTACGAGGATTATACGAACCGATTTTATTATTTTTACTTAAARTTRCAATAATAACCCATGYAAACTAAGATCAACTGCGATCGGCTGTGAAAACTATATGCTGAAAGTAAACTTGTAAGTTTGTTTGTCCGAATTTCGCCTTTGTCTTCGTTTTTATGACGTCACGACTGCGCTGCGCTATTAGCCTTTTCATAGTTTAAGAATCGATTCCACTGCGCATGCGATTTTATCCCGAATTTCTCACCTTTTGTTTAATCAAGAACAAAAGAAGGTTTAGACAAAAGGTGAGAAATTCGGGATAAAATCGCATGCGCAGTGGAATCATTCTTAAACTATGAAAAGGCTAATAGCGCAGCGCAGTCGTGACGTCATAAAAACGAAGACAAAGGCGAAATTCGGACAAACAAACTTACAAGTTTACTTTCAGCATATAGTTTTCACAGCCGATCGCAGTTGATCTTAGTTTACATGGGTTATTGTTGTAATTTTAAGTAAAAATAATTGGGGAGGTCCTTACATACCAAATTGTCACTATGACGTCATAGCAATCTATTGTTTTAAAGAAAAAGAATCATGGTCGATAGAGGGGAGCAGAACAACGTACACTGCTGCTTAAGTTAAGTCTAAACAAATCTTCACACACTGCAACAATGGCTGGTTAGATCTTTTTTGCCTTTGAAAGGGGGGGTAACAGGCACCCTGTGACCATCCCCTGGATACGCCCCTGACTAAAACAATTATTCACCTCAGGCTAAGTGAATATGATGAATATTTCAACCTTTTACATTCAAAGGCTCATGAATCAGTCAATATTCTCTAACATTCACTTCGCCTTTGCCCAATAATTGTTAAATAATCATAGGCACTTTACTTACAAGCATGTGAAGTAGTTGGCATTGCAATACGAAGTAAGCCATTCTCACTAGGTGCTTTGACTATTCCAGACAATTCAATTATGTACAAAGTCGCATACTTGACACATACATATAACACCACAGGTAACCCAAGATCAGTATTAGCTCAATTGAATATTTGATAGTGATTTGCTACTGCAAAATAAACGCATGAATAGAATTAAAATATTTAAGGGTTTTTTTATGTTTTACTCAAGCACAAAACCAAATTGTGAGAATRAATCGATTTTTTGTTTGATGACGTCATCACTCCTGCGTTATTTGACGTCATATTTCCTAATAAAATTTTGAACATTGGTAGTCTGAGATGTTATGTAGCCGGTATGTTATGGGAACACACAGGGAAACTAAAGYAAATAGTGCGCAGAAATTGAATGGCACAACCTGTATATAAGATGGAAACTGGAAGCAAATTTAAGACTTATTATTATTTTGTCTTACCTTGGTTATTTCGGGCCCAAAAATGAAGCCGTCCTTTTGAAGCGTGTGATCTAGTGGTAACCGACCGTCCTTTTGAAGCGTGTCAACTAGTGCTAACCGACCGTCCTTTTGAAGTGTGTGAACTAGTGCTAACCGACCGTCCTTTTGAAGGGGGTGAACTAGTGATAACCGACCGTCCTTTTGAAGTGTGTGAACTAGTGCTAACCGACCGTCCTTTTGAAGCGTGTGAACTAGTGCTAACCGACCGTCATTATACCGATCTTTGAAAATCACTCAACTGTAAGTACATGCCGCATAGAACAATAGAATTCTGCGCGATGATCACTGTTATTTGCTTGTGTTTCCTGTGGTCGGTTGCCAGAAATTTAAATCCGATCTCTTAACAAMCAAAAAAGATGACTATCAAATAAAGCGATTACTAGTAGTATCCACGTGCGCTTAAATAAGCGCCTTTTATTTGCTATCATAGGGTACKATAACTATAACGGACTGAATAAAATTCCCCTGAGAATATATTAAACTCTCCTTAGTCTTTCTCAATCACCTGACTGCGAGTATCCCATTATGTTGTGTCTAGATGGGATACTCGCAGTCGAGGTGATATAGTTATTATTTATTATATCTTAATTTATGTGTTCGTAGGGTACGACTGCTAGCCGACTGAAAAAAACTCCCCTTATATATCTTATGGCCATCTTATTTTCTGTTTTGCTGCTAAAAAAGTAATGCTATCTGTTTTATTATTTTCATTGTGGTAAAAATAAACTATACAAAAACATAAAACTCTTAAAAATAAAAACTTAAAAATTTCAAGTTAAATGAAAGACATTCATTGTAATTTTCACTAAACCTGACATCGTGATATCACATTTACTCCGACAAAGGCTAACGTCCGAAACGTCAGTTTCTAAACATCACAAACCATACGGTGTATTAGTTAAATCAATTCTCCTACTGTTCGATTCCAAACACCTACTCCTGTGTGGGAGAGTAGTAAGGTCGAAATTCGTTCTCGCCTGAGTCCTACGCAGGTAGTAACTTTGACATAACATGGCAGAAAATTTTTTCGGRAGCTATGATAAAAAATGCATAAAAAAGAACAATCTTTTGTGCATAACTTGGGATTCGAACCCACACAAAAAAAA